ACAGTTTAATTTGACGTCAAGTTGGAGCACTGCAACAACTCATGCTTCGAGTTCGAGTTGACATTACAGCTGTAACAGTCGTTAGTGGTCAGAGCGCAGCGAATATGAATGCCGTGATATGCCCTAAAGTATAAAAATACGATACAATAAAGAGCTGATGTACAGTCATTTTTGCAATGGAAATGGAATGTACGTGCAACAGATTCGTGGGCGTCTTCCATTTTGTTAATAAGTGTATCAGAAGTGAAAAATGTTTCGGACTGAACATACAGGATGCTCCAATCAGAAGGCAGCCCGATAACAAACCAGTGCTAATGGTACAAAAATGAAATTAAGAGCTGGTCCGTGTAATAGACTCTTCCAACCTCCTCTCTGACACGATTCGCAGTCACCTTGGTTGCTAGGCCGCTTTTCACGTCAATCTCGCAAAATATGTTCAGGTGCGAACATGATTTTGGTTGAAAATGAATGTAAGATTACTTATAATAAACTGAAAGTGTCTGACATGGAAATAAAATCCAACCAAGAAATTGATGAATAATTTTCTGCTTGAATATTTATTTGTACTGCGTTTTGTGGAATTACATTGTCGTAAACGGGTAAGATTTTAGTCCGACTGTCGATAAAATGTGTAATGAATATTTACTTTGATGGAGAAACATATTGGAAAGAGGGAAATAAAATTGCATACGTCTTAGAAAGTGTATTTATTGAACATGCTTGTGATATGCGTCATAAATACTCGGGCTGCTTATGACGTGTGTTGAACAGCAATTTCTAAGTACCTCTACTCATCGCCCTGATGACGGAGGCAGCAAGGACCTCTGAAACGTTGCTAAACTTCTACCATACTACACGGCGCTAGAACCCAGAAGACATCCATAAAACTCTAAGGTCCTTTGGGATTTCGATATCCGTAAGCAGATTTGATGGTGCTTAAATCAAAGCACGTGTTCTTTCGACTTGAATTACACAGTCTTAAATTACCCTCTATTTTCGCTCTGTTAAAGAAATGTCAATGTCAAATTATTCGTGGACTTACTTGGCTTCATAAAGGACGTTATTTTTCCTCGCTTCTCGTGATAGACATAGATACATAGATAGAAGACAGCACAGCATCTGTTTGCTTTCTGTATCTTTCGTACTGCCCTCTACTCGATCTGCCCCGGAAGCTGTTAGATTCCCCCTGGGTTTGTGCTAATGCTCACAGTCTGAGACCAGCGTTGCGCAAATGTTCTAGGCTGTAGACCGACGTGGTGATTAGCTCATTACCCGACCTTCTCAGGATTTGAAAGTGGCAGTCAAGGTTATCATCAAATGATCACAGATACAGTGAACTTGTTGTCCCTTTATCTGATGTCTTGCTGTGAGTCCAGTAAAAAAAAAGCGAATACCTTGAGTGGGAGTAACAACCATACATCTGTAAGTCATATGTGCTAAAGGATTTTCGATAGATAAAATAGGAAACTTTCTGTAATCTTATGATTTTTTATAACGTAAAATAACATGACCGTGTAAAAATGTTTTTTTTAGAAACTTACAACATATTAGCTACAACTGTAACAAATTATTGTCTGTAATAGATGACTTTTGTATGAAGACAGATAATAAGTATTCAATAAAATATTTATGAAATCTTCTCGGGCTATCATCCATGTCAATTGGTTAAAAATCACCGATGTTTCGGGGACCGTCTGTGTTCCTATAATTAGGTTTTCGACGTGATCACATATTTTACTTATGTTCGTTGCCGTGAAACCTTTAGATCAGACCTTACGAGGGACAAATGGCTTCAGAAACATTGGTGATTTTCAACCAAGTGACATGGCTGATAATCCGAGAAGATTTTATAAGTGTTAGTCACCATGAAAGCTTCAGATTGTGCGCTATAAAATATTGTTTGTAAATCAATTTCAGTTTTGGATTTCCGTAAATTATGCCGAAATTAGAATTGGTTGTGTACTCGAATAAGGCCATCGCTTCACAGCTGAACGACATTGTTCCATTTCAGTCACTCTTGTAGAATGGTCGGTGTCTGGGAGATGAACACACACCATCGCGGAAACTCTGCGACCCTTAGTATTTCATCGCCATGAAATTACCATTTCGTTTCAATCCTCGTTTCCATCAGACAAGATTTCATTAGAAGAGATTTTGAAATCGTGTAACTTCTTGTTTTGTGAAGTAATTCTCGCCAAGTGGAGAACCGTTCTTTACGATCTCCAATGTGGAGACAAGACGTAGATAGAACAACACAAAAGCTGATCTAGTGCCTTTTTTTACGGAGATGAACTGACACCTGGCGTTCATAACAATACGGATTTGTTTGTGGATACTCCAGTATTTATCTCCAAAACGGAATGCTGTTACGAAGTTAATCTTTATGCCCTTCTTGTATGAAGTATGTACAGTATTTTCTTTGTCAGCAAAAGTAGGATAAATGAGTAGTGATGACGTCATTGTGTAATGCTGCCTGGTTGCAGATACCTGCAGCTGGAATGAAAGGCAGCTTTTGTTACTTACGTGCCTGAAGACGCAAATGAATAACTTTAA